GTCCTCAATGAACCAATGCATGAAAAATATTTGGTTCAAAATGGTAGAAATGTGAGAGAAAAAAAAGGGGGGGCATTTCAATGAAAAATTGAGCAATTTTGAAGAAGAGAAGTTTCTCAGCTTCCCTTCTTGGCTATTAGGTCGGGTGGTCTAGAGTTTAATGCTAGCTCTACCCTCAGGATGGCTGGGGTTACTAGGGTGTGAGGGTTAGTCCTGGAGGCAGAACTTCTGGAGGTGGGTTGTAGGCTTGGTATGCTGTGCACCAATTGGTCTGGAGATTTTACAACAGTGCATCTTCAGAGACCAGAAATTGCTAGTCCATGTTGGAAGACTCACTCCTGGAATCTCCCTTGGGTTCCACTCATGTAGTATATACTCATGTGCTATTGAAGCCTATTCTTAGCACCTTACATCACATGTGGACCCTATAATTCCTGGTCTCTGATTTAGTCTCTAAACTCAATCTCCCGCTCTTGCCCTTTTCAATTCCTAGTCAGGTGCTTCTCTCCCAGCTGGTCCTAAGGGCTGACACCAGAACCTGCATGACCATTGTGGAGCTGTGTGCTGGACCCAATGAGTCTGGTGGCTAGGAGGCATGTGGGGCCCAGTCACACAGGGGATTCAGATGTTATGTATCAAGTGGATCATGACCAGGCACTGAGACCTGCAGGCTGGCTGCAAAGCTGTGAGTGATGGGCCAGGTTGGGCGTTACCAGGGGTTGGGAAACTGGCACTGGGAAGCTGGAGTGCCCTATAGGAGGCTGGACTGATGCTGGCACTGACAGAATCAGAGGACTTGTGGATGCAGGACTGGGAGGGAGTTGGGGACCAGGATGGTGCTGGAATTCCATGAGTTCTGGTCCAAGTAGGCCCCAGGAGCCCAGTGAGTACAGGACTGGCTGGCTGGGTGAGCTGAGAGTAAGATGTCCTTCTTCCAACCATTCTGACCCACTGTAGCCATCCCTGTCCGTCTCTGCAAACCTTAGGACTCCTGGCACTGGGGAGAGCCTGTGTCCCCCTGGGCAAAATGCTCTCAGTTTCTGACTTTCCACATGATTGTTAGGCTTAGACAGAGCCATGCAGACCTAGCTGCAACTCATGGATCTGGATCTGGGTTTCAGTTTCCATAGGCTCCACCACTCTGCAGTCTACAGATGGCTCCTTAATCATGGACAATTGATAAACTCTAGTCAAGAATTTTTTTTTAATATATGTATCTGGTCAATGAGTCAAGTAGTCTGTGTTCATTTAGGGCAGATTGTCCCTCCAGTCTCAGTATTTTTCATTCTAAGATTCTGGGAGGTACGGTATTCACCCTGTCTGAGTTCTAGGTAGCCAAGCTAAGAGAAATGCTGTCTCACACTAATTTGCCATCTCCCCCCCCCCCGCCTCATGTATCCAGCACTCCAGAGGTTCCCTCATGCCCTCATCCAGTAAGAACCCTGCAAATCTTAATCTGTTTTTTTGTCCCCTGTTTTACAATTGTAGAACTGACTTTAATATAATAGAAATTAAAATCAATAGACTTGAGTCAATTAATCATTTATAATGTTATAGGGAGCTTTTCAATGCCTGACTACCATTGAACTACAGGTATAGCATACATTGCTGTTAAACATACACACATCTCCCTGAATACAGAGGAAGTAATTTACCTGAAAGCTTTATAAAACACAAATATTTGTTTTCAAATTAAATATTCAGTATGAGTACATTTTAAAATTAAAACTCAATTAATGTTACCCTAGATCAAGAAACTATTGTGCAATTCTTAAAATTTATATGACTTTGAGTCATTCTATAGCTAAATTGAGTTCAAGTTCTGATGTTTGCTCGCTGATTGTATGCAGGAAAAGGACTTAATTATCCTATGTCTGCTTATTCATCTGCAAAATGCAGGGAAAAAAGAATATATTGGAAAATTATAATGTAAAAATTAATATTAAAAATTTAGCATCATAACTGAAATGCAGTAGGTTTTCTAATTAACTTTAATGGCACTAAGAAAGCATAGAAACAAATTAGAATTCACTTACCATCTTTCTCCTAAATATCTTACATTATTTCTATTTTAAAGCAGAAAAATCACTTCAATTTGAAATAAGTCAATATCTGATAAAATTAAGACTTATGTACATAAATTAAGGTCTCCTTACAGAATCATACTTCTCAAACAATTGGTTTTAAGATGGTTCTCATTGCTTTGTGTGTGTGTCTCATATACACACAAATATATTATATATATGAACTTCTCTATTGGGAAAAAATGTAAATCTTCTATCCAGTTACTACTAGTGCCTGGAGGATATTGGTATTTCCTCTTGTGTACTAACAAATCTTGTCACTTCCCCATAGCATCTGTTCTTTTCTTCTTATTCTTCTCTGGCATCATTCACACATCTGAGATGCTGAGGATCCCTGAGGCTTGAGAGCTCTCCAAAAGCACAATGCTAGGAAATCCAGGCCTCAAAGCTAAGTTTGTCTTCTTGATTCCACAGAAGCCTCCAGTGGGCTTCACTGCTGGCCACTAGTGCGTAATGAGAAAAATGGTTCCTTAATGTGGTCAAGATGAAGTAAATGAAATGGAGGCTTCTCAAGTCTTTTCTAACTTAAACCTACACAGTGTTCCATTTTGAAATTGGGAAAGACCTTAGAAAATGGAAAGACCCCCCACATTTTTGGATAGGCAGAATTAATATTGTCAAAATAGCCTTACTATCAAAAGTGCTATACAGATTCAATGCATTTTCCATCAAAATTCCAGTGACCTTTATGGAAATGGAAAAAGCAGTCATGAAATTCATTTGGAAAAATAAGAAACCCATAATAACCAAAACAGTCCTTAGAGAGAAAAGTGAAGCAGGGGGCATTACAATACCAGACCTTAAACTGTACTAGAGAGCCACAATAACAAAAACAGCATGATATGGGCACTAAAACAAGCAAGAACAAAAATGGAACAGAATAGAAGACACAGAGACAAACCCACAAAGATACAGTTACCTCATACTCCACGAAGGCTCAAAAATATACATTGGAGAAAAGATAGCCTCTTTAACAAATGGTGCTGGGAAAACTGGAAACCCATATGTAGTAGAATGAAACTGAACCCCTATCTATTACCCTGAAAAAAAGCTCAGTTCAAAGTAGATCAAGAACCTAGGCATTAGACCAGAAATCCTGCACCTACTAGAAGAAAAATTGGGCACAAAACAACACTCCAATATATCAGCTTAGGAATCAAATTCCTTAATCAGACTCATAAAATGTAAGAAAAAAAATCAAGATTCAATAAATGGGATGCCATCAAACTAAAAAGCTTCTTTGCAGCAAAGGAAACAATCAAGAACATGAAGAGAAAGCCTACAGCCTGGGAGAAAATCTTTGCCCCCTGCACTTCAGATAGAGCAATAATTTCCAGGATATATAAAGAACTCATAAAACTTAACACCAAAAAATCAAATAACTCAATAAATGGGTAAAAAAACTGAACAGACCCTTCACAGAAGAAAAAATAAGAATTGTCAACAAATATGCTAAAAATTGTTCAACATCTCTAGTAATTTGAGAGAAGGAAATTAAAGCTATACCAAGATTTCATTTCACTCCAGTCAGAACGGCAATTATCAAGAATACAAGTCACAATAAGTATTGGCGAGGATGTGGGTGAAAAGGTACACTCAAACATTGCTGGGACTGAAAACTAGTGCAACCACTCTGTAAAGGAGTATGGAGATTCCTCAAAACACTAGGAATGGAATCACCATTTGACCCACCTATCCCACTCCTTAGTATACATCCAAAGGATTTAAAATCAGCATACTAGAGTGACATAGTCACATCAATGTTTATATCTGCTCAGTTAACAATAGTCAATCTATGGGAACAACCTAAGTGCTCTTCAACAGATGAATGGATAGAGAAAATGTGGTATAAATACCTAGTGGAATATTATTCCCCCATAAAAATCACTTTATGACTTTTGCTGATATATAGATGGATCTGGAGACTATTTTGCTAAGTGAAATAATGCAGTTCCCCAAAGCCAAAGGTCAAATGTTTTCTTTGACATGTGAAAGGTAGTCCACAAAAGAGGGGTGGAAGGTAAGAACAGAAGTTCAGTAGATTAGACAATGGGAAATTGAGGGAAGGATGGGGGAGAGCTGATAAAGACTCTGTGAAATGAAACACAAAATGTTTCTATGTACATATATAAAAACATCACAGTGAATTCCATTATCATGTATATGTAGTACAAGAATCGGGTCCTAATTAGAATAAGAGGTATTCCATGCTCTGTAAAATTACATCAAAATGGATTCTACTGTCATATATAACTAAAAATAACCAGTAAAAAAAATATGATGCTGTATCTTGGGTTTAATCATCACATGTATGATATTAAAGAGTTTGAGGCCTACTCATGCCCTCCCCATGCACAGCCTTTCTCTGCTGTTGGTTATGCATGATGGCAAATGAATTGTTAGTTTTTTGATGTAAATCTGTGGAAAAAGGAGTTTCTATAAAAGGAACCAACATTATGGGGAATGTAGTTTTATTTTTAAAGATAATTTAAATAGTTATATCTCTAATTCAAAAAAGTTTAATTTTTTCTTCAAAAAGAACAAGTGTAGTTTAAATAAAATAATTATTAATTATAGAAATATTCTGAATGAAAGATTTTTGACAGCACTAATATCTCTTTAGTTTTGGGAAAACAGTATAAGTAAAAATTTCACAAAAGATTTTTAAAAAAGAAGAGGTAAAGGCATAAAAATAGGAAAAGAAGAACTTAAATTATCACTATTTGCAGATGATATGATCCTATACCTAGCAGACCCAAAAGGGTCTACAAAGAA